TTATTAATAAAATAAGTTCAGGGGGTAATAGGACCTTAGTATAGTATAAGTGTGTCTCTGAGATTTCGGGCATAGGTTGAGGGGGTACTTGGGCATTATCCCAAATATAAATAAACATGTTAACATGATACTTACAAATACTATTTGAAACTATATATAAACGAAATATTAAAGTTAAATATATTTCTTTGATACATTAAATTTCATGTCCAACACATCAAAAGATACTCAAATTCACAATTTCAATTAGATATATAAACATAATGACTGATACTTAAATTTTTATATACTTATCAATAATTCATATAAATATGATACTTAAATAACAAATGTATGACTGTATGATACACATATACTATTATTTGATACCTTATATTGCATGCAAAATCATGCTGCTATAACAAAAATCGATACTTAATGTAGATATACAAATCGATACTTATAACATATCTATATGTAATTAGTAATTATTACCCATTAATATATACGAAATATAAATAAAAGTTAAACAAAGAATCGTTCTATCATGAGCACATAAAAAATACTTAATAAAAAATAATTGAGCATACTAACAAATATATACAAAAATCATGATAAAATTAAAACGATACTTAATATAATTCATCAGACTAATACTATCAAATAATTCATCAGACTAACTAAAAAAAAACAAAATTTCATACATAATATAAACGACACTTAACAATCAGAATCAACAAACTAAAGAAACAACATGAAAATCATGATGTATATGTAAAACAAATTTACATACCGTTGATAATGTTGATCGAACAATAGGAGGTGCCGCCTTTCTACCCCTCTTCTTTGGGGTTTTTGGATCTTTAGAAGTAGATGCATGTTTGTTTTTTGATGAATTTTTCTTGCAAGAGCTTGGTTTTGCCATGACAATAGTTTGATGCAACAATAAAGAACTCATATCTACATAGAATTTGATTATGGAAATCAACAATATAATTTTTTGAACAATAAGTATTTGATTATGGAAATCAACAATATAATTTTTTGAACAATAAGTATAGTAATTACACAAAAACGAATTTTTTTTTTAAGAAATACTAATGTGGATGATGATATACCTGATTTAGGACTCAAATTCGGATGAATATTGATAATAATCCTTAGAATATTTTGAATTTCAAATTTGATTTACAATTGTAACTTAAAATTAGGAGGAAAATTTGAGAGAAATTTTTTGGGAAGGCGAGATTTTGGGGAATGGAATCAGTTTTTGGAATGGTAACTTCTAATTTTGGGAAGGTAAATTTAATTTTTCAAGTTTCCAACGTGTAAAATTAATTAGTATCATTGAGGGGTAAAAAATGAAATTTTTGTAATTTAATAAATTAGTAAAAATTTAATGATATTAGATAAATTAAAATAGTCTAGTTTAGTAATTTTTGCTTTTAAAATTGGGCTATGTTTGATTGGACTAAAATAAGCCCAATAAAAATTTTGGACGGATTGGATAGGTTATAAAGTTTTGAACCAGTTTCTGCTAAAGCATTAAGCAAGGAGTTAAAACACAAAACATCACCCTAGAGAAAATAGAGGGCAGCTTTCGATCTCTCTCAGCGGACTCTCCTATGGGTAAGCCCCTGAGTTCAACTCTCTGACGGTGAAATCCCAACAATGACATAAAGTTCGAAACGCGGTAGATAACGGATCTGGCCGTTTTTCTGGTACGAATGCTTATTGATTTCTTCAACAGAATTTAGGTTGAAATTTCTAGCTTATTTGGTTTTGATATGCTTTTGTATTTGAAAAAAAAAAGTAGCAAACAGTCTCAGTCTATTAGGGATCGAGACTGTTTATAGAAATTGTGAATTCTGATTGATTAGTTTCTTCATTTGCGCAAGCTATGGTCTAAACCCCTTTGTTGTGTTGCATTTTATGAGTAACAAAGCCTTTTACATTAGGGAAAAAGTGAAATAGTCATATGCTTTACAAAGTGGTGAATTTTCCCTTTGTGAAAAAAGTTAATCTCATGTCTGTATGTTTACAACTCTCTATTGAATTGATATCCTTCTCCTTTCTCTATCTCTAAACCATATATATGTGCTTGACGATGTTATTTAATTTTCTCTATTTCGGAAGTTCACATATATAGAAAAGAATTAAAAGCTACTAATTGTAATGCATTTACCACCCGATTCACAATTTACCTTATGCCCACTAATAAGAGGAGTGGAGAGAGCTCTGTCCTAGATAGGGTTAGCAGTTTGCCTTGTGATCTTCTTGAGAAGATATTAGGATGCTTGCTTTTGAATTATCCCAAAATGGAGGTATAAGTGGTTAATACTTTCCGAACTAGTGTTTGATGAGAACGTTGGCAAAGGACGACTTCTGAAAATTTGAATGGAATTTTGAAGCATGTATTGTCATTGCAACTGCATTTGAGAAAATTGGTGTTGTAACGAGAGCTGGGAATGAAAATGACGGACGAGATGAAGCAATTCCCTCGAGCATTACCCATTGTAGAGTTTATATACCAAGAAGTTGATATTCATTTTTGAAATATCTAGGTAAACGACTCACCATTGAGATTATTCAATTTTTTTAGCTTCTTTGTGTGATTTGTTTCATCTCTTCAAAAAGGAAACAATTATACCCCTAAACAACAAACCAGCGCGTAACGACTGAAAAGTCGTTCTTGCTTCTGCTTGCATACTCGAATATCTCTCTTTCGTCTCTCATCCCTGTCTCAATTCTGATAGATCAGTTTCTTCCTTCGTTAAAGCTACTATTTGTGAGTAACAAACACTTTCCTATCGCAGATCGAGTGAAAAGTCTACTGTAGTACTATCAAGTGGTTTGAAACAGGGATACGAAGTGGTGAATTTCCCTGTTTATCTACCTGTTAACCTTTAGAATTGTGTGGATTAGACATATTTCTTGAGGATTACAACTAGTAGGCTTCGCAAACCCTTTGAAATCATGTGGAGGGAGGAAGCATTTCAACAGAAACAACTTTTAGCGGCATTAATTACTGACATTAATAAAGAGAGATAAAGTCTTTACCGATATTATTTAAGTGTCATTAGAACCAATGTCGTTAAAGAGTTTAGGAACATATACAAAGAGTGTCAATTGCCACAAAAAATACTTATTAAGCGGCAGTTGAGAATTAATTGCCGCTAATGTCATTTTTGTTGTAGTGAAGAAGCACACATCAAGTTCCAGATGTCTTAGTTGCTTGAATGTAAAGAGATAAGAAGGTAAATGATATTTGTTGTCTGAGAATATATGAAATGTGAATTCCTAGACATTTTTTTTTGAAAATTATCAAAAAGACACGTCAAATTAGGACACCGGACTGTAAACTTTAGTATTGGTCCTTGATATAGTCGTAGGACTTGGTAAATGATTGTCTTGGTTTCTTGATTGTTGTTGAAAGATCTGAAAAATTAACTGCGAAAATCAAGTTTTGCACGTATTACTCATTTGTACCTCTAGTTTTTTGACAAGATATTGGTCTTCACTGTATCTTTCAAAAGACAAGCTCCCTAGAATTTTATCTAGGACATTACACACAACAAATTGTTCATTGTAGCACTCTCCATGGTTTAATACACAAGTTTGTAAACAACTCTAATAATTCAAATCTGAAATAAAGAAAATATCCAAATTCTCATAATTACACATTTCAACAATATAGACATAGTCTTTTATAACTACTGGTTAACATTTTCGATTGCATAGAAGTTTATCATTTTACCAATATAGAAGGGATAAAATAATTAATGATGAATGAGAGAATACCTGAAAAATGTTGGTTAGAGACAATAATGGTGAAAACATGATTTTAATCTAGGAGATTCAATAATGTGTGTGTATATATATAAAAGGATATTCCATTTCAATACATAGTGGTTTTTTTTTGGCGAGGGGGACTAGGAAGTAGGAAACTCTTTCCATTTCTAGAAAAAAGATCTTGTAAATATCGATTCTTTGCAATTGGCAAAACCTTCATTGGATCAATTAGCTCTTGCTCATTTTAGGAATGTCGGCTATTTCCATTTTTTAAAAAGATTTATAGAAATCTATACTTAAAATATGAGGTATCTACTCTTGCAATTATTTTCACCAAATCCATCCTGATTACTATCTGTATAAGATCGTAAGAAATCATGAATAGACCCCAAAATTAATTAGGAGTTTCGCCCCTACGACTTTTGTCTAGTGTAAAGTGTGTGCATGGATTAGACATATATCTCGCGTTTCAGTTTGCAACCAATGAAACCTACTATTTAAGTCGAGAAGAATATACAGCCAAATTATATTCTTCTCAGCTTAAATAGTAGGTTTCATCCGTTGAAAACAAAGATGTATGCATAATCCACGCAACACACTTACGACTAGACAAAAATCCTAGGGGCGGATCTTCCAAGAATTTTGGAGCCTATTTATGCACACTTCAATCTTTTTATAATCTTATTGTAATCTGTGGCTTTTGGTAAAAAAAATTCTCGAGTAAATTTCTCATATGTTAAGTATAGATTTCTATAAAATCTTTTTCTAGAAATTGAAATAGTTGCCTGACGTTACAAAAGATAGAAAATGAGGTAATTGCTTTAGTGTAGGTTTTGTCAATTGCAAGAATAGATTTCTTCATGATTTTTTTCTTGCAATGGGAATAAATTCTTGGCGCCCCCTCGCCAAAAAATGTGATGCGTATATAGGTGAAATATCCTTATATTGGTGTATATACATATACATTATTGAATCTTCTAGATTGAATTCATAAAATCACCATTGTTGTCTCCAATCAACATTTTCCTCATACTCTTTCATTTGTCATTATTTTTCCCTCCAATATTTGCAAAATGAGAAACCTCCATGCAATTGAAAAAGTTGAACTAGCTAGTAGTTATAAAAGACTATGTATACATTGTTGAAATGTGTATTTATGAGAATTTGAATATTTTCTTTTATCCAGATCTGAATTATTAGACTACAAACTTGTGTATAAACACGAAAAGTGCTACAATTTGCATAGTAATGTCCTGGATAAAATTTTAAGAAGCTTGCCTTAAAAGATGCAGCGAAGAGCAGTATCTTATCAAAAGACTGGAGGAATAAATGGGTAACACGTGCACAACTTGATTTTCTTAGTGAGCTTTTCACTTCTTTCAACAACAATCAAGTAGTGAAGATAGTCATTTTACGAGTCCATCAAGGACCCATACTAAAGTTTACCGCTCCAAGACTATTCTTATATCCCCCTAATTTGACGTGTTATCTTGATATTTATTACTGGATGTTTATGTCCATCACTTTGCTCTTCAAATATTCTCAGGCAACAAATATCATTTACCTTCTTATTTTTTTTACATTCCACAAACTAAGATATCTAGAACTTGATATGTGCTTCTTCCGCCCTCCACCTAATTTCAAAGAGTTAACAAAACCTGTTAGTCTTAATCTTCAAAGTGTCATTTTTTATCCAACAATATTTAGGTTCTCGCATCCAAATGGCCATTGATTGAAAGTTTGAGGTTGACTAGGTGCACCGAATTTGATATTCTTGAAATTGATGCTGCCAATCTCAAATGCTTCGGCTTTTTTGGAACATTAAAGTCCATTTGCTTAAAGAATGCCCCGATACTTAGAAGTGTCATTGTGTGGCTCAACTCAGGTCATGAGTTTTGGTGGGGATCCGTTACCTTTTTGTTCTAATCTTACAAAGTTATTCCATTTACATGCCATCCCCCAGAGGAGTTGGAACTAGGCGGTTCATCAATAGAGGTAATGTACATTTATAGTATATAAAGGAAAGTTGGTACATATCTTGTTCAAATGTTTCATCTTTGACTAATTTTTAACTTGCTTCTAGTACTTGGCCATGGGAGGTATACCTGAGAATCTACCGATTGCTCTAAACAATGTCAAATCTCTCTGTATTTTGGATATGTCTTTCAGAAATATAATGTTGACGAGGTTTCAAGTACAGGTTACGTGATTACAAGCTGTGCTAAATTACAAGAAGTTACAATTGAATGTGTAAGCACTAAGCACTCTCCTATTTTCTCATTGAACATATTAATATGGTTTCTCCATCTGAACCCGTCTAACTTTTACCAAATATATTCTAGGGAGTTGTAGGGATTGCTGTGGAACCTGTTATACAATTATTACAAGCTAAATCATTCTCATGTGGTGCTGTGAAGCTGCTTCAAAATGTGGAGATGCATTATTTTATTGGTTTTGAGATGGAAATTGAATTTGTGAAGTCTATATTGGCATCTGCACCTGTACTGAAGGAGATCTTTAATGGATGAGATGAAACTATTCCATCGAGAATCACCCTACGTTAGATTCAAATTTGAAGAAATATGTACAGGTCTGGAATTTGATTTGTACTTTTTTCAGATAAACTTGATTTATTCAATGCAATTTCATTTTGAGATCCCAATATAACCTATGCTTAATTAAAACGCGTATTTACCTATAGCAATTGATGTAGATTGGTCTTAAATATCCTCTTTCCCTTCAACATCAATCAATGAAGTTAATTTCTATATGATCACCAAGTAATTGCATTAATATGTCAATGCCACTTTTTCAAATAAGAAAGTCCTTCAACTATTTCTTTAGCTTTTGTAAACTATACTAGTGTAGTGATCGGTAAATATCATAAACAAATGTCATTTATACTCTGTTTGGTTTTTTAACTCATGGCGTACTAGACTTATCTACAATTTATAAAAGTACGACTTTTATGAAGCTGCTTCAAAAGGCGTGTAGGTTCCTGGTTTATGGTGGTTTTGAGATGCAAATATAATTTCTTAAGGTTGTATATGTTGTCACCTGCTACTTTATAAAATGTGTATTTTGAACCATACATTTCCCGTTGGTCTCGGTTATGCAGATTGATGAGATGAAACAATTTATTTATGTACGCGTGCATCACAGAATGTTAAAGTTCAAGTCGGAAGAACTTGGTATAAACGTAGTGATAACTGCGGAATCTTTGTAAAGGTGCTCGTCTCAAGTAGAGTAGTACTTCTTATAAATTTTGTAAAATGGAGTATTTTACTTGTTTATATAGTAATGATATAGTCCATGAAGCTCTTTTCGACATTCAGGTACAATGAATTTCTGTTATGCTTTTGGAATATGAAATGTGAGGTACTAGCATAGAAAGTAATTATAACCCTAAGCAACAATCCAGCGCACAACGTCTGAAAAGCCGTTGTTGCTTGCTGTTTTGGAAACTCAAAAATCTCTTTTTGGCCTCTCCTCTCTGTCTCAATTCTGATAGATTAGCTTCTTCCCTTGTGCAAGGTACTATTTCTGAGTAACACATTTTTCTATCAAAGGTCGGGTGAAAAGTCAAATGACTATCAAGCGGTTTGAAACAGGGGAAATATATTACAAAGTGGTGAATTTTCCCTGGTTATCTACATGTTAACCTTTAGAATGTTATATTCCTTTGTGAAAAAAAGCTACTCTCATGATTCTATATTTACCACTATAATTTGTCTAGTGGTAAGTGTGTCGCCCCTGTTGTGTGGATTAGACATACATCTTGAAAATTATGACTAATAGGCTCCGCAAACCCTTTGAAATCAGGTGGAGGGTGGAAGAAGCACATATCAAGTTCCAGATGTCTTAGTTGCTACAATGTAAAAAGATAAGAAGGTAAATGATATTTATTGTCTTAGAATATTTGAAGGGTGAATTCCTAGACATTTTTTTGACAAGAAGAGCATCTAGTAATAAATATCAGGAAGATATGTTGAATTAGGACATTGGACTGTAAACTTTTGTATTGGTCCTTGATTTAGTCGTAGTACTTTGAAAATGATTGCCTTGGCTTCTTGATTGTCGTTGAAAGATGTGAAAACTAACTACGAAAATCAAATTATGCATGTGTTACCCATTTGTACCTCTAGTCTTTTGACAAGATGCTGGTCTTCAATGATCTTTCAAAAAACAAGCTCCGTAGAATTTTATCCCGGACATTACACGACAAATTGCTAATTGTAGCACTTTTCATTGTTTAATACACAAGTTTGTAAGCAACTCTTGTAATTCAAAATCTGATATAAAGACAATATCCAAATTCTCATAAGAGTGCTATAATTTGCATAAAAATGTCCTGGATAAAATTCCAAGGAGCTTGCCTTTGAAAGATGCAGTAAAGACCAGTATCTTGTCAAATGAATGGAGAAACAAATGGGTAACATATGCACAACTTGATTTTTTTAGTGAGTTTTTCACTTCATTCAACAACAATCAAGTAGTCAAGACACACATTTACCAAGAATTCATCAAGGACCAATATGAAAGTTTACCACTCCAAGATTATCCTAATATCCCCTTATTTGACGTGTTATCTTGATATTTATTACTGAATGTTTTTCTTGTCAAAGAAAAATGTCTAGGGCTTTGTCTTTAAATATTCTCAGGCAACAAATATCATTTACCTTCTTATATTTTTATATTCCACCAACTTAGACATCTAGAACTTGATATATACTTCTTCCACCCTCCACTTGATTTTAAAGGGTTAGCAAAGCCTATTAGTCTTAATCTTCAAAGTGTCATTTTTGATCCAACAATATTTAGGTTCTCACATCCAAATGCCCATTGCTTGAAAGTTTGAGGTTGACTAGGTGCGCCGAATTTGATATTCTTGCAATTGATGCCGCCAATCTCAAATGTCTGACTTTCTTGGAACATCAAAGTCCATTTGCTTCAAGAATGCCCCGATACTTAGAAGCGTCATTGTGTGGCTCAACTCAAGTCACGAGTTTTGGAGGATCCCTCACCTTTTTGTTCCAATCTTACAAAGTTATTCCATTTACATGGCATACCTGGAGGAGTGGAACTAGGCGGTTCATAAATAGAGGTAATGTACATTTATAGTGTATAAACGGAAGTTGGTACATATCAATAATCAAATGATTCATCTTTAACCATTTTTTAACTTGCTTTTAGTACTTAGCCATGGGAGGTATACCAGAGAATCTGCCAACTGCTCTATGCAATGTCAAATCTCTCTGTATTTTGGATATGTCTTTCAGAAATATAATGTTGACAAGGTTTCAAGTACAGGTTACGTGATTACAAGCTGCGCTAAATTACAAGAAGTTACAATTGAATGTGTAAGCACTAAGCACTCTCCTATTTATCATTGAACGTATTAATATGGTTTCTTCATCTGAACCCGTCTAACTTTTACCAAATATATTCTAGGGAGTAGTAGGCATTGCTGTGGAACCTGTTATATATACAATTATTACGAGCTTAATCAATCTTGTGTGGTGTTGTAAAGCTGCTTCAAAGTGTGGAGATGCGTTATATTATTGGTTTTGAGATGAAAATGGAATTTGTGAAGTTTATATTGGCATGTGCACCTGTACTGAAGGAGATTTTTGATGGATGAGATGAAACAATTCCATTTAGAATCATGTTAGTTTCAAATTTGAAGAAATATGTACAGGTATGGAACTTGATTAGTGATTATTTATGGATGAACTTGATTTGTTCGATTCAATTTCCTTTTGAGATCCCGATATGACCTTGCTCAATTTCAACACATTCTTATAGAGTTTATATAGTAATGACAGTCCTTGAAGCTCTTTTCGAAATTCAAGTACAATGATTTTCTGTTATGCTATTGGAATAGGAAATGTGTGCAGTGTGCTACTTTACTACTCATGAAAAACATGGTGAATTGAATCAATAATGTTTAAAATCTATGCATAAAGAATAAAAACAGTGTTTAACCAGGAATAGGAAGAAAAATAAAGGCATGTTATATGTGCATTTTAAAGCAATGACGATTGTGCACATAATCATTTAAAGGTATTGTTCAAAAAAGAAAATTCAAAATTTCTTCAATGTTAGTAAGGTCTGCATAATATCGTAGCTTTGAGTTGAATAGAAGTTTTATAGAAGGCTAGGATTCGAAGCTATGGCACTCTGTATCAAAAATTGAAATTAATACATTGGATCTTAATTGAAGATGGTGATTCAACGTAGCTTGTAGGTTCTAAGAATTTAACAATTCAATCAAATTCTTGATCCTATGGAGGAAAAAAAAGGATATTCAATAATTTCTTAGATTTACTGCTAGTATTGGATGAGTCAATCAACTATTTTAGTATTCAAGAACCTTAATTTCCATGAGCCACTTTCAAGAAAAGAATTATACTAAGATTATTTAGTTATTGAATTCCTCTGAAGAAAAATATAAAGATATACATTGTGTTTTTTTTAAAAAAATCTTTCAATTCAAACATATTAGAAATTGTACTTACATTTGTGTGAAACTACGTACTACTTTTAAAAAAAAATTGGATTTAGCAGCGGACAAAATTGAACAGCAAAATCCGTTGTAGCTATAAAATGATATATATATATATATATATCATTGATCTGCATTATTAATAATTAAATTACATTTTAGGGAAAAAAAGTTAATTAGAGTCCAAATTCAGAAAATCAAAATATGGACATTAAATCAGGCTGAGTATATATATATATAAAATCAGGCTTTACCTCCTTTTTCCCAATATTATCATGATTTTTATTGCCCTTCCAAATATAAAAACTTATAATGATAAGAGAATCATTATGAACTTATAGAAATGGACATTACAAATACGTACCAACACATTGATACTCCCATTAAACAAATTTCATCACATAGAAAGTGCTTAATTAATTATAAATATGAAATTAAATCTAAATTTATCGCTGTTTGGTACAATCAGTAGGCAAGAAAGAGAGTTTATGATTCACAAGATCATATCCAATATGGAAATTCATCTGTGCCAAGTTTCCGTAAATAGCAAGACCATCAACACCCCCGTTAACAATTAACAAACAAGTCAAATTTTTATCAACTTCTGCAAATGTACTCATAGGTAACAATTCAATATCAGCATCCGTGAAATGGAACACAATCTTAGGAAATTTGGCTAGGCTTTTCGTCTCGTAACATAGGGGAAAGTAATCTGAGGGATCCTTTTTCCTCTTTCCTGTCGAGACATAATATAATAATTAGTTATAACTAAAAGTGAATATATACTTGGAAAAAAAAATAGTCACAAAATTTAATTTTACCTTTAATCTTTTCCACCAAAGTTGATTCCAATTTGTTGTAAAATCCCTCAGGGACAATTGTCAATGTCGTACCAGAATCAATTATAATATTTCCCAAATCTTCATCAGCAGCAGCAGAAGAAGAACTCATGAGTTGTGAAGACTTGAAGTACTTCAACTTCTTACCTCCAACGCTAACACTCTCGAGATTTAGATAGTAGAATGTATCGGGGTACTTTCGAATAATGGGAGTTGTAAGAACGTTAGGCCCCGATACAACTGCCTTAGGACCAAAATTAATTTTACTGGTAATATTTGGATCAAAAGAAAATGGTAATGATAAATCCATTGGGATTAAACAATAAGAGAATTTCCCTTTAATTTGTTTGTCAAGTTGTTTAATAAATGAGACTTTTGAACCACCTAATCCAACAATTCCAGCAGTAAAATTGTTGAAAGTGCCACCATTATCATGTCCACAACCAAAAATAACTTGTGGGATTGAAATATTTTGGACTTTTTTATTGGTTTTAGATTTTGTTGATGCAAATGTGAATGTCTCAGAAGCAATATCACCAACACTATAAGAATTATCACCATAATTCATCTCATATTGACAAACATTTTTTCTAACACAAACTGTTTGTCCCACTGCCTCACATTGTTTACTATGACATCCAATGATTTTATAAGTTGAGCTTTTTCTAGGGTTGAAAAGGGGAAAGATTTGATCAAAACATTCAGTACAAGGCTTGCATTGTATCCATGTTAAGTCACTACCAGTGTCAACAATTGCAAAGGTTTCCCTAGGGGGTGTACCAATGGAAATTTTCATTAGATATTCCGCGGGTATTGGAACGATGTCTGATTGAATAGCATGATGATTGAAAGGTGTGGTGAGATGGATGGAGGCTTTTGTGAAGAAAGATGCTCGAGAAAAAGATCGATGGCATGCATCTCGGAGGCGTTGAGAAGGGGTGATGGAAGGGTTGTAGTAGGGAGAAAGAGGGGAATCGCGATGGATAAGATCAAGAGTGAATCCGTTTGTTTTGGCCTTTCTACAAGAAACTAAAGAAAGTTGAGAGAAAGACAAAAAAACAAAAATGGATAAAAGAAATAATAATTTAGAATTCATTTTCATGGCTATGGATTAAGGTGAAAAGTATATTTCAGAAGAGTGATTTATGAATAGTTGATAATTAGTGTCATTTTATAGGGCAAAAACAAAAGAAAAATGAATGCAATAAAGAAGATTAATGTTAGTATGGAAAAAAATAATAATTAATTTTGATGATCAGGAAAAGATATGTAATGTATACAAAATAGGAAATGGTAATATATAAATTGATTGTTGTTACGTTCATAATGTATATAGACTTAAATCTTAATATATTAGTAATGTACATTGCTATACTTGTTGTTCATATTGTATTCCAAACATACGTAGATCAAAACTTTGAACATCCTTTGTAAGAAAACAAAGTTTAAGAACATTTTCACAACTAGAAAATTAAAACTAGTAGCGAAACTAGAATCAGAAACATATTTTTTTTTTAAAAAATACGAAATATTTTTCTTAAAGAAGAATTGTTGTTAATATGTGTCTAATGAATCTTACTGATTCCAACAAACTTTGCAGAAACACGAAGTTACCAAGTTTAATGAACCAGTGAAGAACAGAAGAATAGAAGAACTGAAATTAATTCACAAATCTAAAATTTGTAAAACACGTACCAGAATCTGGAAATTTTTAATAGGAAAAAGATCAAGTCCACTGAATTCACAGTGTCCCCTTAAGGAAATTATTCCCCTCTAGTATCCGAGGTTTGATTTGGAATATGACCTCCCAGGGTAAAATGATCTCAATCACCAGAGTATAGATACCAAAAACTCCGGTGTCAGCGAACCACTCAACGGCAGTAAAGTACACTTAGAATACTAAATTTAGTAGTTGAAGAAGAAGTCCATAAAAAATTCTTTTTAAAATGAGAGGAAATCCCTCAATTTATAGAAAACAGAGGATAGTGCGAAAAGGTTCTTATTGTGCCTTACCGAAAAGGTCACAAACCTTTGGAAAAGTCACAATCTTTCAGAAAGGTCGTCACCTTTCATAAAAGTCACAACTTTCCATAAAAGTCACAACTTTTCATAAAAAATGCAACTTTTCATAGAAGTCACGACTTTTCATCAAAGTCGCAACATTTCATATAAGTCACAACTCTTCATAAAAGTCGCAACTCTTCATTTTCCATTCACACCTTTATTTTTAAAATCCAACAATCCCCCGCATGAATGGGGAATGACTCGTAGACAAAGAAACGAACAAGTATGTGTACTTTACAAGCAAGAATTAATTGCATCTGGATAAGTAGGTTTCTCCTTGGACTTTCCGTAGTGAACATATGTCGGATATACTCGGTCAATCGGTAGATGCGATATCTTTGAACCATCGAACTTTGGTGTATACCTAGACAACCATATGTCACACAATTAACCCTTTACCATCTATGGTTCTTACGGTTGTGTTCGTTTTAGCCATGAACACCTCCTGGTTTCATGAGTGTATAGAGAGATGGGCTTTTGACAATCATCTTCTTTGAAGAGGCTTACACTTCACACTCACATAGGTGATTTCTAACCGTGTTATCGCGTAGATACACTATTTGGTCAACTCTTCCAAACTTAGCAAATCATTAAAACCATTAAGCTTTATTAACTTATTAACAAGCCTTAATGTTGTATCCTTGTCCCTGAGCATTGTCTTCATCATGAGAATGGATTGAGTTTATTGACAATGCCGAACCGTCATTCACAACTTTGTTTTTCTCCTTGAATCTAGCTCTTGGGATCTCCAGTCTGCTAGATAGAGTTACCGCCATGATGACTTGTCCTAAGCCGTAAATTCATTCCCTTAGATGATCTTTTAACTTTCTCTCTAGTTAGGCCTTTTTGTAAGTGGATCCGACACATTATCCTTTGACTTTACATAGTCAATTCTGATAATTCTACTAGAGAGTAGTTTCTAACAGTATCATGTCTATGTCGTATATGACGAGACTTTCCGTTATACGTCATGCTCCATGCCCTACCTATTTCATCTTGACTGTGAAAGTGTATGCATACTAATGCCAATGGTGTGGGCCAAAATAGAATATCTATCAAGAAATTCCGGAGTCTTTTAACTTATTCACCGACCTTATCTAGAGCACCTAGCTCGAAGATCATTGTAGAGCTAGCCATACATGTCTCTTTTGAAATATTTCTAAGAGACTGCTCCTCTACCAATAGTAAATACATATCCACTCGTGAATTTTACTTCATTCTTCCGATGATTCAATTCGCATCACTATATCTTTCAATATTGTTGGATATTGTTATAATGCAAGACATAGTTTTAAGTATTATTTTAAATACTCCACAACTCTATTTATTGTCATCTTATGAATTTATTTGGGATCACTTGTGAACCGACTCAATTTAAAATAACAAATGCTATATCTGATCGCACACATTATATGATATACATCATGCTTCCCAAAAC